AAAAAAAACATTACGGGAATATGGCTTTGATATGATACAGTATAGTTTCCATAATCAGAACCTATATGACAAATAGGCAACCTATTCACATGCAATGTCTGGGTGTTCTGAAATCCTAAATTAGGGAGAAAGAAGTTTAATTGCAGTCTTGCTCCAAGTCTGTGGTCTGGCAAGGTCCTTGCACATCGGAGGTCCAGGGCTTGTGGCCAGGGTTCTTTAACCCTTTCACATCCTCCATCTTTTCTGCTAAAGTCACATAAAAATTTCATGTGACTTCCAGCCCTAAATTTGGAATATGGCTACCTAGGGGGTCTTGGTCTATCCTCTGATGATCTCTACCAGTTCAGAGGCTTCATTTCCATGATTTGTATGTTGAGAAGGGCAGGGGTTTTTCCCCAGATATTAAATTACTGAAAATTGAATACGCCTTATCAAACTTAAACCTCCTCCCATTCTAAGAGGGCCACGGTTCATCTTTGAGGATTGCTGCCCCAGAGCCAGTTCTGGTCTGTGCTTCCTTCCTTCTCTCCTATTTATGCACCCTCCGGACATCCAGCATCCTATGAAATACACAGCAAGTGTCAGTAAACACTCAGCAACGTGGTCTGGCTGGTGTGGGGTCTCAGCCTGCGGCTCACCAGTAACCAAATCTTGGTCAGTCATCTGACCTACCACACCAAGTCTGGGTGAAAAATAGGGTCTCATCCTTTTATTTTTCAATTAATCATTTGCCTCCCTCTTCTTTAATTCCCAAGAAGTCCATTGTGTCCTTTTTGAGGCCCCTCTATCCAAATGGTCTAAGAATCCTGAGAGTTTCCTCAGTTCAAAGGAAGCCAGAAAGGTAATGGAGTCTAAGGGACTTAACACTGCTGTTCCTGCTGCCATTTGGTGTCAGTGTTGAAGACAAGTTCTGTTTACTGGAGTGGAGAGAGCATCTGAGAGTTTTAAAATTAAATGAGCTACTACATTTAAAATGCTTAGTATGTAGATGGTTACTTGGCACTATGTAATTATTGAGCCTCAGCTTTAGGTCTTATTTAGGACTTAAACCAGAGGATCCCTGGAAACACCCAAGGTCTGGCAAACGGTAAGGAATAGTCGGGGGCCTGGGTCCTCTGCAGGGTGTGTGTGTGTGTGCGTGTGTGTGTGTGTGTGTATGTATATAGCTTGTGTATATATACATATATATGTATATATAGCTATATGTATATGTATATATGTATATGTATGTGTATATGTATATGTATATATACTCGAACCCGAGTAGCTTAAAATTCCTTAGAAATCAAATGATTTATACTGGCTCAGAGAAGAAGGAATTCTGGGGTGTTTGGACTGAAAAAAATATTGGCTGAAGTCACAAGGCTGGTTATTGGTGGCTGGGCCTTAATAATGTCTTCCTGAAGGTAGAGCTTGCCTCTCACCCGAGGGGGTAATCTGCCTCACTTCGGAAGGCAGTGTTCTGGCAGTGCTCACAATAAGGCTGTGGCTCAATAATGTTGGCATTCTCCCCGTTCCCAGCACAGTGCCCTGTACATACCAAGAAATACCCCTTCTCCATGTCACCTGATGTTAAATGTGATCACATGCTCACAAGCACACATGTACACGTGTGCACACAGGTGCACACAAGCTCGCTGAGGAACTCCGTCTGCCTTCCATCTCTTTGCTTCTCTTTTTCTTACTTCTAGGCCACAATAATTAAGAAAACCATACAGAGTGCACGGAAACCTTTTTCTTCAACTTTGAGTAACTATATCATTGCTTTACAGCTTTCTCTGTCTCTGCTTTAATTACCAGATTTCACACCCTCTAGAACACACCTTTCTTGGAAAATGGCAACAACTTATTTTTTTAATAAGCTTCGCAACTAGCCCATGAAGGATCTCCAAATCGTAATTTATTTTAGGCCATGTGAAAACGATTCACTGTCCACATATACTAAAGGTTAATGACTCATTAATAAAAGCTAATCCTACATCCATTTAGGCGGTATCCTAAAAGTTCATTCATGAGTCAGTTTGCTTTGTTTCTAGGGGGAAGTCCATTATCTATTATTATAACATGTAGTATTCTATATTATGATACATAATAATGAATACTAATAGTAATAATAATTGCCACAATTTATTGGGTACCATATACTTTATATACATTATTTCTATGGCTGACAACAACCCTGAGAGATAGGTACCCATTTTACAGATGAAACTGCGCTTCACCAAGTTCAGGAATGCCCTTTTATTTTTTTTTTAATTATTTTTTTTTTTATTTCTAGGAGAGAGAGAGACAGCGTGAGCAAGGGAAGGTCAGAGAGAGAGGGAGTCACAGACTGAAACAGGCTCCAGGCTCTGAGCTGGCAGTCAGCACAGAGCCCGACGCGGGGCTCGAACCCACAAACCGTGAGATCATGACCTAAGCGAAAGTCAGACGCTTAACCGATTAAGCCACCCAGGCGCCCCAGGAATGCCCTTTTAAAAGTACCCAAAGTCAAGTGCATTCCTTGTCCTAAAGACACACCTGCTAAAGGTGCATGACAGGCCACCTCATGACCTCCCTCTATGTTCCTAAGTCCCTTGACCAGCCACAGTCTGCAGGCCCCAGGTGGGTGTCTGATTCAGTGCCAGCCTAACCTGGTTGTGGCCTGCTCTGAAAAGATGAGCTCAGCCAATCTGATTCTCCTTTAGAAATTTGAATGGGGAGGGGTGTCTAGGTGGCTAAGTCGGTAGAGGGTCTGACTTTGGCTCAGGTCATGACTTCATGATCTTACGGTTCGTGGGTTCGAGTCCCATGTCAGGGGACAGCTCAGAGCCTGGAGCCTGCTTCAGATTCTGTGTCTCCCTCTCTCTCTGCCCCTCCCCTGTGCATCTCGTCTCTCTCTCTCTTTCTCTCAAAAATAAACAAACATTAAAAAAAATTTAAAGAGATGAAGGATTATTTTAAGGCTATCCCGGCACAGAAACTACTGGAAGAAAAGTAGGAAAGGTGCAGTGTCTAGCTCCAGAGTGTTCTGCTCCCACCTGGCCGGCTCTCTGCATGTGATTCTTTCCCTCCCACTTCTATTTACCTTGTATCCTTCCACTACAGTAAAGTCTCTGCTCGCCTGTACTTCCCCTTCACTGGCAGCTCACGTGTGACAATGGGCTTCCCTTTCCAATACTCATTCATTAACTCCTTATTGAGTCTTTCGGCCTCAGCTCCAACCCACTTGCTGCTTCTTTCCATGTTTCCCCATTTAAATTCCTTTTTAAAAAATGTTTATTTTTGAGAGAGTGGGTGCACAAGCAGGGGAGGGGCAAAGAGAGAAGGAGACAGAGAATCCAGAGCACCCTCCAGGCTCTGAGCTGTCAGCACAGAGCCCAATGCGGGGCTCGAACTCACCAACTGCGAGATCATAAGTGGAACTGAAGTACGACGCTTAGCCGACTCAGACACCTAGGTGCCCCATTCCTTCATCTCTTGAGCTTATTTGAATGAGTGTCAGTTCCTTTCAACCAGAAGAGCGAAATTAGAATACATAGCCCGTGAGTGCTGGCAAGGGGATTCGAGCCACAGTTTGTGGCCTCTGCTCCTATCACTGCACCCCTTGCTGCATTATAAATGCTGCTCTGGGCTGCCATGGACCTTACTGTATCTGGAAAAGAACCGACAGTGGACCCAGGGTTCCTGAAGACATGCCACCAGTCTTGGTTTGCTTTCAGAGCTGCGTGCGGGAAGGTGCAGGTTAAGAAAGTCTCCGACAACTGGAAGGTATCCAGACATGTCCGCGGCAGAACTCCAGCTTCCAGGGCGGAAGGTGCTAGCTATAATGGGGACGGGGAGGGGGGGTGGGGCAAGGATTGCTTCTTGGCAGTGCAGAGGAGGACAGGGCTCTCTCAGGACGGGAACTGGTCTTCCCCTTACTTGTACCTCCAGTTCTAATACAGTACCTGACTTATATTTGAATGAGTGAATGAGTGATTGATGAATGAATGAGTGAATAAATGAATGGCAGAAGTAGGTCATGGTCCCTCTTTCAACACGAGGGTCATATGGTCTACCCAAGTTAGGGAACACCTGTGTATGTACCTAAGAAACAATTCATGCAATATGAGTAATGTGTACAGTGACCTTCAGCTTTAAAAATACCAAAGACGATACCGTGATGCCCACGATAATGACATAGCTCAGAGACTCCAATTGGACAACTCTCGATTGCATTTGCCCTGTTTACAAAAATACCGCTCCCTTTGTCTTCCTCTGGAGAGAGTGAGGTTTTCATTTTAAGAGGCTGACTAAAAGATGCAGAGGCACTTCCCTGGCAGGCTTCCAAGTGACTCCATCTCTCACAGCGCTCCCGGCTCCCCAGGGCCCCAGCCCAACTGCCTGGGCGGAGCCTCCAGCGCTGGTGTCTGTTGGAGCTACCACAGTGCACTTATCTGCAGCCTGCCAGAAATGCTGTGCTTTTAGGCCCTCCCAGGGCACAGATAACGGCTCTGGCCTTTGCACTGAAGTGACGCCAGAGTTGGTGATTGGCCAGGCCGGTGTGTGTGAAATACAGGCGATGTCTGCCACACTTCTGAGTACGGCCTTTCTTCCAGCCGGGTACCCCAGGGTGTGGGTAAGTCGAAATCTCTGCAGTCTGCCCTGCTGGGTTGTGAAGTGTTCAAAGCCAAGCATTGTGACTCTCCAAGGGCATGACTTAGCAGATTTTGTAATCCTGCTGGGCCTCGGTTGCCTTTTCTGTGAACTAGAGATGGTTTTATCCTATATTATAGAAGGAAAGAAGAATCTAGCCATGACAGGCTGTCGTGGGGCCCAGAAGAGAAAACCTGTCAAGAGTTTCAGTGAGGATGTCCCTGTTTTTATTTCTAACAGCACAATATTTCTCTCACAGACTCAGTGGATATGTTCTGCTGTTTAATTGTACCTGTGTAGCCAACAGAAATGTGACTTCAGGGGAAGCGAGCGCCAAAGGAAAGTTTGTCAGACTATATTCCCTTTTTCTTTTTCCCTTCTAGACCTTGACTGCACCTGCCCCATTTGCAGATGAAACCAGCTGCCAGTGCCAAGCACCCCATGAAAAACTGACCATTGCTCAGGCCCGCTTAGGAACACCAGGTGAGGCTGGACTTCTTGTTCTCTGAGTGGCCCCTGTCCTGACAGTTAAAGTAGCAGAGAGGCCCATAAGTATTTGAGTAGCACTCGCTTTCAATCAGAGAGTTGAATTCAGCGATTTAGAGCACAGTGCAGAAGGATGAACGTTTACTCTGATAAACCACACAGTCCGACCACCTTGTGCGAGTTGTGAGAACGGCCTGCACCTGTTTCTTCATGTGCGAACAGGGTCAGTGATCCCTGCCTGCTGCACACGGTTTTGGAGATGACTAGATGTGGTTAAAAACACCAGAGCAATTTTTAAACCATGAAGCTTTCTACAAACCTAAGCTGTTATAATTATCACCATGTTTAAAAGTCTGTGTTGTAAAAAGTTTCTCCAAGTGTGCCTTAAATTAAAGAGCTGGGGCTCTGCGCTAGAAGTTTGTCAATTCATTCACTCCTTTATACCAGAGATGGAGAGGGAAGAGATTGAAAAAGAACTCTCAAGTACCATCTCTGTTTCCCAAGGGCTCAGGCATGCCTCATCTCATTGCGCTTTATTGCAGTGTGCTTTGCAGATACTGTGAGTTTTACAAATGGAAGATTGGTGGTGGTAACCCTGTGTTAAACAAGTCAACGGGTGCCTTTTTCCCAACAGTATGGGCTCACTTTGTATCTTTGCCACATTTTGGTAACTCTTGCAACATTTCAAACTTTTTCATTATTTTGTTTGTTGTGGTGATCTGTGATCAGTGATTATGACTCACTGAAGGCTCAGATGATGGTTAGCATTTTTAGTAATGAAGTGTTGTTTTTCATTTAGGCATATATATTGTTTTTTAGACATAATGCTATTACATACTTAATAGGCTACAGTGTAGTGTGAGCATAACTTTTTTTTTTAATGTTTATTTTGGAGAGACAGAGAGAGAGAGAGAGAGACAGCATGAGCAGGGGAGGGTCAGAGAGAGAGGGAGACACAGAATCTGAAACAGGCTCCAGGCTCTGAGCTAGCTGTCAGCACAGAGCCTGATGTGGGGCTTGAACCCACAAACCGTGAGATCATGACCTGAGCTGAAGTCGGATGCTTAACTTACTGAGCCACCCAGGTGCCCTGAGCATAACTTTTTTTTAAAGTAATCTCTACACCCAATGTGTGGCTTGAACTTACAACCCTGAGATCAAGAGTCCCGTACTCTACCATCTGAGCCAGCCAGGTGCCCCTAAACATAACTTTTATATGCACTGGGAAACCACAAAATGCACTTGACTAGCTTTATTGTGATATTGGCTCTATTGCCGTGATCTGAACCTGAACCTGCAATATCTCCCAGGTACAGCTGTAATTAAAGAGACAACTTGATATGAAATAAACCCCCCAAATAATAGGCATGTGTGTGCTTAGCGGTTCAACCTTGCCACACAGATAACTGAAAGTTTTAAGAAGGACAGGTTCGTTTGGCTTGGAGCAGTCAGGCAAGACCTTGTAGCCCACCTGAGCTGATTGTTTTGGGAGAAGATTGGGACTAGAAGATTGGGCAGCAAATGGAAGAGTATTCCAGGCAAGTGGAAAAGGAGTAGTGAAGGCACAGAGAGAGCGAGCTGTGTGGGAATAAATGAGTGTTATTCCAGTTGATTGGGATGGAGTGAAAAATAAGACTAGTTGAGCAGGTCAGCACAGAGACATTCAAGATGGCACAACTTGATGGTTTCCACCCACCATGGCAAAAACCAGACATCCCAAAGTTAATAGAATCCATGGGACAAAGGACAGTTTGCTTACCAATAGTAATAATGCATAGTTATTAAGTGCTTACTATTACTAAGTTCTTTAGATGCATCATTGTCCTTTGACCCTCACTCCTCTATGGGGTTAGAGAAGCCATGAATCTCACACAGTTATTCAGCTAACGAGCGGCAGTGGTCCTCATGCTAGGGGTGCATCGGAATCACCTGAGGGCTGTCTAAACCAGATGGCTGGGCCTTGCCCCCAGAGTTTCTGATTGAGTCTCAATGGGGTGGGGCTTAAGCACTTGCCTCTCTAAACAAGTTCCCAGGTGCTGCTGCTGTAGGGGGACCCGCTTGAGAACCATTGTTAGGTGGTCAAGCAGAATTTGACATCAAACCCGTTGGTGTTCAAGCTTGATCTCTCAACCACTCCACCCTCCTTCCTTCTGAAGAATAGCTTCGAGACAGTGAGGTGAGGAAGAGAACAGGAAAAGGTAATAAGCTTTGAGAAAGGCAAGAAGAGACTTGGGGAGGTAGCTCAAAGCAGCTAAACCAGGTGTTCCCAGACTTACATGTGCAAAGAATCACCTGGTAAATTTGTTACAGAAGCGAATTTCCTGCTTGTTCTCCATTACCCCTGAATCCGGGCTAGAGCCCAGACGCCTGCGTTTTTTAACTAACAGCCAGGTGGTTATGAACTTGGTGGTCTACAGACCATACGCTGAGAAATGCTGACCCGAGCAATAAATCTAAGAGCTGCAATGGCAGTCCAGGTGGTTATGAAAGATGAAGACTGAGCTTCAGGCCACAGAAGAAGCAGACCTACTTTTCTAGGGAAAGGGAAGCAGAACTTGCTCTCTATCTGGTAGGTGCTGTGCTCTGTACTCGATCTCATTGGGTCTTTGCACAAACTGGCAGATGGGTAGTACTGTGTCCTTTCTTGAGAACTTGGTGAATGGAAAAGTTGTCAAGTGCCCCAGCTGACAGACTGGAGCTAGGATTCGCCCCCAAGTCCTTGTTACCTGAAGTCTCTGCCGTGTGTTACCACAACGGGCAGCCCTGTGGGGCACAGGCCACAGCCGACCGTGGAGCTCAGGGAAAACACAGGCTCTCAGTCGGAGGGTGGAAAGTGTGTGAACCAGGCAGACAGACAGACAGACTCTGAGCTTCTGTAGTGGCAGGGCTGTCTGCCTTGCTCATTGCTGTTTCTCCGGCACCTAGAGACATTCTTATCAAATACTGTGTGCTCAGTAAATATTTTGTGAGTGACTGAGTGAATGAATGGGACTTTGGGACAGGAGAAGGAACTTGCCCTCTGGATACAAAAGAGAGCTGGGTGTGACGCTCCGAGCCAGCATCAAGCTGATTGGGTGAGACTGGGCACCTGTACCTCGTCTAACCGCCAAGCAGTTTAAACCCTGAGAACCAAGTTAGAGTGAGACGGTGGTACATTGTGAAATATCTGTGTTGTGGGCTCTGCAGAACACAGATCACCACAGGACGGGTGAGACGGAGCAAAGGGGAACTCTTTGTCTTCGAAGAGAAATTCTCCGTTATCCCGGGTAATGACCCTGGGAAATTATCCGAGAGAATCTGTGATGTTGATGGGCACTGGGGGGGAGGGGGGCTAACTAATTTCTAACTGTGTTAAAAATTCCTCTATTTAGAATGTCTGACATCCATATTAAAATGCAATGAGATGTTAGTTCTCAGATCACTCACAGGCACCTATTAGTCTTAGAGCACCCTCTAAGAACCACTGTTGTGTTAAAGAGTGGTCCTCCCGTCTGCTTACAATGTCCTGCGTTGTTACAGCAGACCTCACCTGCAAGGTCTCTGATTGAGGAGGTCTGGGGCGGGACTCGAGAACTGGCATCTCTAACAAGTTCCCCGCTGTTGCTAATGCTGCTTGTTCTGGGACCTCACTGCCAGAACTACTGATCAAGAGTAACCGTTGGTAATGGCTGGAGAGCGTGACAGGGAGATTATCCAAATATAATTGTCAGAGCATTGTACTGTTCGTAGAAAAGCTCAGAGGATTTTTTTTTTTAATTTTTTTAAATTTATTTCTAGGAGAGAGAGAGAGAGAGAGAGAGACAGCATGAGCAGGGGAGGGTCAGAGAGAGAGGGAGACACAGACTCTGAAACAGCCTCCAGGCTCTGAGCTGGCAGTCAGCACAGAGCCCGACACGGGGCTCGAACCCACGAACCGCGAGATCATGACCTAAGCGAAAGTCGGACGCTTAACCGACTAAGCCACCCAGGCGCCCCTCAGAGGATTTTTAAAAATCTTGCTGTTTGACTACTTTTTAAGAAAACAAGAAAAACATCACTGCTTTTTTGGAGTGTTTCGTAATTTTCAAGACTAGTAGGCAACTACCTTTTTGTGGTGCTGTCTTGAGCGCTCCATCACAAAGACAAAACAGGCACACATTTGGCGTTTATAATGTACTTGAAGATGATAGTTCTAGCTGAAGTCTTTATCTCCTTCACTAGCCCTATTTGATGACTTAATACAATTGCCAACAATATGTTTCACGATCTTACGTATGCCCAAAGAAGGGCTGCTTGGCACCTTGTGGAGGTCGTCTGTGAGGTCACAGGGTGGTGAAGCCACAAGAGCAGGAACACACTAGGGCAACGGGAATTGGCACCTTTGATCTTAGCTCAGCTAGTGCACTTGTATAGCTGTGAACCTGCGCGGTTTCTTCCGTATCCGGAGACCGAGAGTCACTCTGTCTTCAAATAAAGGCCACATGATTATTTCATAGGTCCCTTTTCAGTAGAGCTGCCTTTTTTCTTCAAAGGAAATTCAGTTCTAATTGCCAGTTTTCCCTTTCGAAAGGGATTTGTAGTGTTCCATTTCCATGGTGTGTAGTTTGCCAAGTTCATTTTTCAAGAGCTACCTTAATGAATTTTGCCTTATTTGTGTGCACCTGTGCTATAATTTACTTAATTTTCTTTATACTTTTCAAAAAATTTTATGTATTGAAAAAGTAAACATGAATCACTGTCCATAAATGCTGGGCTATAAGTAGAAGGAAATTCTAAAGTTTATATAAAGTTATCAAAAGCTTGATAAAATATGTAACTATTAGATCTTTAAAGGTTAATTTTTCTGCCACCCTTCTTACACATCGGTTGTACACAAAAACAGTGCGAGTTACCATAATGTTTAGTACCAGTTTCTCTTGCTAAAAAGAAATTATATTGGAATGTAGTGTTCTAGAAGGCACCATGAGTTAGAAGAAAGGGCAATGAAGTTTTGTTTGATTTTTTTATTTTTTATTTTT